ACGTACTCCAGATGATGGTCTTCATCGTATTGCAGTGCCACGTTCAGCAGACTCTTGAATGTCTCCAGCGAAACTTCGTCCTTGAACTGGGCGTCGCTCAGGTTGCTCGTGGTCCAGCTCAGCAGGTCCGTGGCGTAATCCAGCGCTGCTTCCGGGATCCTGTCCAGTACTAGGAAGGTGCATATTGTGGCATCAAGTCTGAGCGCAGCCGCTGCAGCTTTGCCGGGTTCTATCTGCATGAGCTGCATGTCTGGAGGATCCTGTGGCATTGCTCACCAAAATCATTACAAAGATTGAAAAGTACGGCCAAAGTGGTCAAGCGTAGTTCTGGCGAGGGAAGGCAGCCAGCGATGGCGCCGAGCTCTCTCACGGCGAGCTCTCTGTTGGTATCTTGACTCCAGTCAGACTGTTTGCGTCATACGAGGGCCTCTTCAGGTTACAGTACCATTATCAGCAACCGAGTTGCCGATGACTCTCAGGTATTGCTTTGCTACGGGATCTTCATGGCGGACGGTAGACAAGCCACGAAGAGCATAAGCAAGGATGCCGCTGTCGCGGAACGGGGCCTGCCATCTTTCTATACAATGTCAGCAGGGTTGGCTTTGAACAGAGGCATAACATACTACGACCGCCAACAGCCGTCCCAAACAGCTGCAAGGTCTTCTCTATGGCCTCATTGTCCCCACTTGCTGCAAACGCATCGAGCTTATGCACGTAACCTGTGAGGACAGCGGTCTGGCCTGCAGGGTTACCTTGGAGTAGGCGCTCTAAAGACGCTATATAGTCGCCAAGCTCCTCATTGGATAATGGCATATCGCAAAAGTGTGAAGATGAAGAAACGCAGTCGCTCAAAGTCGTGGCAAAGCTCAAGTGTGCATAGTGGCGGTAGAGATTGCGCAAGGATGAAACGGCTACTCGCAGTCGTCCGGAGCCGCCGTACAGGTGATGGCTACTAGTCGGATTGGTTTCAGGAGAACTCCAGAAAAAGTGCAATCAATAGTTCAGCCACTTGTTTTTTGCAGATGCGGAAAGAAACGGGGTGAGTTCCTGCGGCAGCGTCGACCCACCGCGCGGTTGGCCTTGCCTTTTGGCCGGTTCCGTTGGACCCCTGGACACAGATCCCTTGGCGGCAATTGAGCGATCTGGCACTGTACATTCACCACCACAAACGTCGAGCACCACGCCCTCACCCGCACTTCTTCCGACCACCGACCCTCGTTTAACCCGTTTACAACAACCAATTCGCCAGTATGACGCGCGCCACGCAGACCATCAGCATTGGCATGCTCCTCACCTCTGTATGCAGCCCCTTACCTCTACATATACAAGATTGGATGCTAACATGTGACAGATCTACCTCTCACTGTTCCTCCAAGTCGTCCCGCTGCCTCAGAAGATCCAAGAGGAGATTGTCCCTTTCGTAAGTCTTAGCTTTACCTGAACGCGCAGCCCCACTACCTTCACCATCTCCATTGTTATTGTACTGGGCTGCCACTAACCCAACCATAGCTACCCTTCTGGGCCCTCATCTCTTTCGGCGCATACCTTCTCTTCAAGCTCGGCTGGGGAGTCTTCACCTTCAACGACGTACCCGACGCGCACAAGGAGCTCATGCAGCAAATAGCGGAGGCGCGGAAAGACCTTCAGGCAAAGGGCGTGGATGTCGGCGAAGATTAGACGAGATGGGAGATTGGGGTGCAGCATAATTGGTGTTATTTTGGGGCATAGGATGGAATATCGCAAGATATGTAATGGATGGGTATTTGAATGGCAAGATAACTGTATGGGTATTGCCGCATTCGAAGCTCACGCTGCCGCAGCGGCTTCCGCCTTCTTCTGCGCCTGCTTCAACTTCTTCTCCGTCCTCATAAACTCCCGAATGCCCACGGGTATATCGTCAAACAACTTGTCCTTCTCCGCATCATCGAACCCAGTGTCCCAATTCGTCTCACTGCCACCGCCATCGTCGTCCATACTCGTTGCAACATGACTCGGTGATTTGTCTCCTGCCACCATGCTGCCTGTTCCCTTTCCTTCCTGCCGCTGTGCCTGCATTGCCGCTCTGGCTTGGGCGCTCTTCTCTGCCCACTCTTCCATCTCATCTCGATACATGTCCCATACACAGTTCACGCATCCAGACATGCAGCAGTTGTCTGGTTCTTCGGGTCGCGGAGGGACTAGCACGCCGGCAACGTTCTGGGACGATTTCATGATTTCCTGTTTACGTTCTTCCAAGGCCGTGGTAGACCCAAAGATGATACGGGCTTTTGCAAATGTCTCTTCCTTCTGCGTCTTCGGTGGCTCTTTTGGCGGCTCGGGCGTTGTGTGGGATAGTGGCTGTACTTCCGACAGCGGTTTCTTCAGCATGTCTGAATCTTGTCAGTCCGAGTATCGCTGGCGATGTGAGTGAGGGTCCAACCTGCATAGAAGCCGGTGATAGGCCTGGCTTGTTCGCCTTCTGGTGCAACATAGCCTTTGTAGCGACGTTGTATCCGATTGCTATTTTGAAGTCCTATTCGCCCTGCCTCTGTCGAAGCACGCGACCTGCGCCATGTCTTCAAGCACGAAGCGCAGAGCTCCTGGCGCAAGGCCATTTGCCCGGAGTATGCGATGCGTTCCATTGCCCAACAAAGAATCGTGAAGAGATGAAGCAATCACAGGAGCCGCTTCGTTATGACATGTCGAAGTTAGCCACTGCTGTCGATTGCCAATTCGCAGCTGATTGAAAGTGACGATTGACGGTTCGACGTCATTTTGCGCCGCCTTCCGAACGTCGGCAAAAGCTGCAGCGAACGCCGACAGGGCAAACAACACGCGCCGACGCGTCGCATTCACTGTTGTCGTCGCATGCCCCACCAGCACATCTATCCCAACTCCGCACATATTACTACCACAAGAGCGCCTCAAATACGCGCCGAAATCGAGAGTCTTGCGAAAGCTCCACATGCGAACATCATGAACGAACCACCGGCGAAACGGAGGAGGACCAGCTCGCCCGCTGAACAAGCGTCCAGTCCTCTGAGGAAACCTCCGCGACGACCGTCTTTTGCGTCGCCTACAAAAGCCAGTCTTGCGCGCAACTACCCGAATCTTCTGTCTGCATCTCCGAAGCGCAACCCAAACCGACCTGTAGCAGCTAGAATTGGCTCCAGAGGAAGGGAAGAGACCGAAGTGGAATTGCCCAGCGAGAGCGACCTGCCAGAACTCCCAGGGACACCGTCACAGAACAACCGCGCAAGTTCGAAGCAGCCGCGGCGAACGATGATCTTCTCATCACCAAGCAAGCGTCCCCCACGTGTCAAAGATCCCGTCAAACAACCTCCACCGAGTTCGAGAGCGCCAGCGGTACAATCGGACGATTTCACAGGGACGGTAGAAGATGGCCCAGTGGAAGACATGACCGAAGAGATAACTCAAGACGTGTTACAGAAGAGGCAGCCTCCAAATCCAGAGATTGAGAGAAGGAAACAGGAAAAGGCGCGCCTACAGCGTGAAGTAGAAGAGCTGGAGTCTCAAGTGTCAAGATGTATCGAAGAGGTTGCCAAAGAGCAGCGCCGCAGTCCAGAGGATTCTCTGCGGTCTCCAGAGCGCGACAGTCTCAAGTGAGTCTAAAACCCTCCCATGATAGCCAAAATGTGACTGACACAATACTAGGAAGTTCATATCGGACATCAGCGGCACCGATACAGAGCCAGAGAAGCCAGCACCCGTATCGAGTCTGCTCTGTTCATTCCTACCATTCGCCGCTCTCTCCGTTCCTCCACCACGGCCGAAACAAGAGGAAAAGCCCGTCCCGTCGCATCGCCCAGTCGAACTCGCGGATCCCTTGCCATACCTCCAGATGTTCACATCTCTCAACTTTTCCACACAACTCAGCCTGCCCCGCGGCAAGATATCCCCAACCTCACGGCAGGTCCACCAGAAGCATACCATCGCCATTGCGGGCCCACAGAAGCTGTTGACAGCCCAAGTCTCGATAACCATCGACGCGTTAGCGAATGAGATAATCGAAATGCAACTTCTACGAATCTCGCCGTGGGCTGAGCGTGAACTGGGCACTTTTGTTCGTGCGAAAGCGCAAGAAAGAGATCTAGGTAATGCGTCTTGGGCTATGGACTCGTACTGGGAGATTGCGAAGAAGCGGGCACAACACTGGCACAAGTGCGAGACTGCGTTTGCGCATCTACTCGTAAGTCGGACTTCAGAAGACACTGAGAACGCTCAGTCACGGCAACAAAGCAAGCACGTGACGACTGTCACACGCAAAGACTTGAGCAGGAATCTGGGTCGCGATACCCTGATCCTGCAAAACAAGCATGTCCTACTAAAGCTAAACTGGCAAATCGGCTTCGATTGGACAGGCGAAGCGGAATCGGACGTCAGCGTCGAGGCTGCATTTCCACAAATATGGTCCGAGACAGACGATGGTGGTGCAGCGTTTAAGAAGATACCCCAAACTTTTGCTTCTCTTGTTCGTACTCGGGGCGCTTTCCAGGCTACGAAGGTCATGGTAGCTCTATTGTTCTCTCAGTAGATTGCATTATTTCGATGAGGCCTGAAGGTGTTCGCCATATTCTACGTTGATGTACTGGAAATGTGAGGGTAATGTATCCGCCAGGGTGTGTTATGGTCGACAAAACTCGAAGAACACCGTCCTTTGTATTCATCGACTGTAGTCGGAATATGGGCAATGTGTGAGCGTTACTCTGCTGTTGCTGGCAGCAAGTCGAGATAATGTAACTCGGGTTTTACCATTGGGTAGAAATTCGTCGCTTGCCCATGGTACAACACCACCACTAGTGCCCAAGCATCGATGGTACCTGAAAAAGCACGGCTATGCATGAGTCACATCACTACGTAACTCTACACATGTTAGATCCGGACTCCAAACCTTGCACGAGGCCTACTCTCGTCACAACCCTACCGCACATCGCCATAACCCACGCGATACAGCATACCAGCACACCGGCCACCGTCTACACAACAAACTAACATCAACCATGCCCGTAACAACAGTCCCCCACCGATCCGCCTCTTCCAGCTCAATCACCCCCACCCCCAAACCGGTCTTCTTCTGGCAACCCCGCGACGGCAACGGCTACCTCTGCCAATGGTACTGGTCCAAGTTCACCCTCGACGCCGAAACCTACGTCACAACCGAAATGTGGATGATGGTGCAAAAGGCGCGTTGTTTCAACGACGAAGAGATTGCGAAACAGATGCTCGAGACTACGGATCCAAAGACGCATAAAGAGCTAGGACGGATGGTTAGCGGGTTCCATGAGAAGGTTTGGGATGAACGTACGTACTTCCTGTTGTTCGATGTGATACTAGAAGGAGGGGATGCTGACTATGTGACAGGAAAGCTGGAGATTGTAACTCAAGGCAATTACCACAAGTTTACGATCAGCGAGGATGCGGAGAATCTGAGGAATATGCTGCTAGCTACTGGAGAGAGGGAGTTGGTGGAAGCGAGTCCGCATGATAGGATTTGGGGCGTGGGTTTTGCGGAGAAAGATGCGGAGAAGAATCGGTATCGGTGGGGGAAGAATCTTTTGGGGAGGGCGTTGATGGATGTGAGGAAGAGGCTGAGGGAGGAGGATTGGAAATAAGATAGAGGAAGACGTTCTCACAAAAACATATGATGCGGGTCGACCAGTGTATTGCTGATGTGCGAGAACTCATTAGACATTCCCCGAGACAACGTTAATACCGGGGAAATCCAATACCTCCTGCCGTTTATACTCCGTCCTCGCAACCATGCTCGTGATAGATGCAGTGACCATTTTGCTGAATCGTAGCTCCATCTCTTCCTTGACATCCTTCGTCCATGGTGGTCCGAATGTCACACCAGCTCTCTGATATTTGTCCTGCACGAAGTTACTCCAGTCTAGTTCCAGTCGAACGTAGCGCAGTTTACCTAAGCCTCTGATCCCACCCAGAACATCGATCAAACGATGCCAGCGATGCAGTTTGCCTTGCCTGACTTGATCAATGAGGACAGTAAGATCCGATGTTGGCACCGATGGCTCGCCCCGGTAGATTCCTTCGGGCCGGAGGATACTTTCGGTTAGGAACTCAAGGACGTCGACACCGAGTGTGAGGCACTCCAAACCCGGCATCTGATTCAATAGGAGGAGCGCATAAACGAGTTCTTCGAGTAACTTGGCTTGTTCTTTCTGAAGCCGTGTATCATCGCTTAGAACCAAGATTCTGAGTACGTATGGGTGGAGATGGGCATTATCGATGATGTTAAGACGGTGTTCCTGGGAACGTTGAAGCACAGACGAATCATCGAAATAGGCGGGGTCGAAAAGGTTACGAATGGTAAAGAAAGGAATGGCAATCCTTCGTACACGGACTCTGTTCTTAGGCGCCAGGGCTCGATAGAAAGCTCCAACAATGGGGCGACAAGTGCGTTCGCTATCTGTCAATACGAATGTAAAGCTTTGGTACAGGTAGGATAGTACTTCGTTTTCGAAGGTCCAATGCGTGCAGATAAGATTCAGGATAGTTCCCCAATTCTCGACATGAAGCTTGTCTTTCGGGGGCTCTTCCTTCTGGGGCTTGTCTTTCTGAAGCTTGTCTTTCGAATTCAGTGTCGACTTGACCAGTGTCACTCTGATGGTCCGATCTGGGGTGTCGCTGACGATGTAATCGTAAATCATCTGACGAGTCTCGCGTGCAAGGCGCATGATACCGGCTTCTGGCTCGACCATACTAGATATTAATCGGATGGACTAGTAGCTTCTACATCCATGTACTTATAGCTGGGAGTCTGATGAGTTTGTGATTAATACCGTCACGTTGGGTGACAGAGCAATCTCTCTGAGCGACAAACGGCTTGACATACACGTGACACCAAATTGAGTTGGCCATCTGATGAAAGCATCGTCGGACAGATACATGCTGGTTACGCCGAACATATGGATACGTTCAGGTGTGTTGAAGGCATCCAGGCCCCAATATTGCGAGTTCGACAAGCCATGAAACGTCGGTAAGTGCCTCCCGGATGTCCTGTTTTTGGATCGGTTTGTTGGTCCATTTGTCCATTTGTCCATTCCGCACGACATGGAACGCGTACCGGTAATGGGAGGCCTGCCATGTCATCCGAGTCATATCGATGAAGTGTGCGGTAAGGGCTGTCAGATGCTATTACTATGGTTTCTCCAGGTACGTGCTCCGCGCATGGCATATGAAGGCCCGAGAAAGGTACGTAAGATTAGAACGGGTGCGGGACGCCCTCCAGGGCAGCTTCAGTTGCCATCCACAGATGCTGCGATGGCGCATCGAAACGAGCTTTCCGTAGCTTTTGCGAGTGATATTGAGAGGAACTCTCGAATGTGAAACAAGGTAAGAGACGGAAGTACTCGTGTTTCTCGGTGCGGGGATACGACTAGAGCGAGTCTAATTAGCAGCACTATCGGTGATAGGAGGCGCAACCGTATTGGTGATAGAGCGAGACGGGACGGACGGAAGGCGAGCGAGGCAGTACGAGACCGTATCGAGATGAGCTCCGCGAAAGGTCGCTGTTGCCGTGTTGTGATATTTACGACAGAAACACGGCCTGACGCATACATCGGCTTCTGTCTGTTAGTATCTTAACAATAAACCCCACCGTATGCTTCAGGGTATAGGTTGATGTAAGCAACATTGACGAGCCGGGCTGCTCCGCAACATGCGAACGGTAGGGCAGGTTTCGTGATGCCTGCGGTTTCACGGTTTTGGCGGCCAATCCATCGCCTCGGCTCCACAAGCGCCAACAAATGCGGAGGCGGCAGGCGCGCGACCGTATCACGTGTACGAAACACCACCTTGGCAACGTCACCCTCGTGTTGTCTTACGGAGACCAAGCGACTCTTACCTGCGATACACAACCTGCGCTGTCTGAACGAAGCGCGCTCACAGGCCGCCGACATGTCGACAATGATAACATTTGCCGCGAATAACGAGTTTTTCCGAAAGCGCAAAAGTGCGTATAGACCGTGCGCAACACAACAAGCAGCAGCAGCTAACAGCGTCGCGCAGGAGTCCATCGCGCCTGCGAATCATGCAAGAAGAGAAGAGTAAGTTCTAGCAGTAAACTTCTGAAGGCCATCATTTGACGCTATACTAGAAAAGGTGCTCGCATACGTTCGATGATGACGAGGGAGCCACGGGTGGCGGCAGCGTTCCCCAAAGTGGTGGCGGAAGCAATCCGACATCCTCAGACAGTCCTTCTACGAACGGACATTATCATGATCCCAGGGGGGCGCGTGGAGACTACGGTCATGCTCAATCCACAATGCCGCCGCCGCAAAGCCCGGCCTCGGACCACACAGTCCAAACACCACCCAACTTTTTGGGCTATCTCAACCCTGAAGCCGTCTTGCGAGAGCAAGTTCACTCCGAACGTGGAAAGACTGCTCAGTCGCCCAGCCATCCTCCCATTGGACAATGGATCGAAGAACGAGATCAGAGACAGGCATCGTCGCAAGTGGGTTCAGGCGCTTCGCGGATAGTAGAAACAGGTCCGCATTCCAACCAGGAGGCTCAGGTATCTAGGGCTCTCCTAACCTACCTAGACGCGGTCGGAGTTGATATACTCCCTTCTCGTATGAACCAAACTGCGCTTCTCGAGATCTACTTCAGCTACGTCCATCCGCTGCTCCCGCTTGTGGACAAGGAGTTGTTCTACGAGCAGTACAACTATGGTCGGGAACCTCGAATTCTGATGCAAGCAATTTGTATTGTCGCTTCAAAACACGCAACAGCCGCCAAGCACCTTTATTTGGGTAACGAGACCCAGCCACTCAATCCACGCGAGTTCTCTCAAAGGCTCTACAATGCCGTCATTGTTGGGATCGAAGCAAAGTTGGAGAAGAATCGCGTCGTGCTCATCCAAGTGCTTGCTCTCATATCACTTCATTGCGAAGGTCCAGATGGCGCCGAGCAAGCTTCCATGCATCTTGCACAAGCCATCCATCACGCGCATACCTTCGGCCTCCAATTTGGACATCAATGGAAAAACCAAAGTTCGGAATCCCAAGGCAATTTGGAGGATGTCTTCTGGTGTCTTTGGAGTCTGGACAAGATCAACGCCTGTATGAACGGAAGACCTTTGCTGATGCATGATCGCGACAACAGTTTGAGACAGCTCCCTCAAGATCCAGAAAAGAGATCAAGCCCATTTGGAATTTGGCTTCAAATCTCCGAGATGTTGGACAAAGTCATCGACTACTATAGGCCTGGTAGAGCTGCTGAAGAGACAGGCTGGGAAGGTGATGACTTCTTAGGGTTTGAAGAGATGGTTGGAGATGGTGAAGACAAGCTCGATGGCCCTATCATGAGCAAGTGGCTTCAAATCCTGGAATTCGATTTTTGCTAATATCTTCAGGTCTTCTATCGCTTTTCCATCATACCATGTGCATGGCCTCCCACAAATCCCTCTCCATCAACGCGCCGGTCAAGTCAACACCCTCTTACGTCCGACAGAGTCTCTCCGCGACACGAGTGATTCATCTTCTCAATGCTGAATCCCCCGAGCTACTCCCACCGCTTCCGATCGTACCCTACGCACTCGGTGTAGCCCTCAGCGTGGTGTATCGTCACTTCCGCTCTCGCCGCCTAAAGGTCCACGTCAACCGTGCCACCGAAGAACTCAAGCAATGCGTCCGCCTTCTCGACCGATTACGAAACTCTTGGTGGTCTGCGGGCACGACAGCTGATCTCGGACGAGCTGTGCTCAGCAATGCGGCAGGACGTAATACCAACGCTGTCAATACACCGGTACCGGTTCCAGCCGAACCCCGACCGACAGAGCCGAAGACGGAGCCGCCAGCACCGCAAAATACACACAACAACCAGTTGCCACCACAAAACCAGTCACAGCCCTGGTCGCAGAACATGGGTGAGACGCCTATCGATCCTCGGCTCCAGCAACACCAACATCATCCCCACGCCAACTCACCCATGACCAGCCTCCTGAACCCAATACCCGCTCCGACACCCGGTCAACACCCCACAAGCAGCGAACGTGCAGATCGCGCGGCGCCTATGACGGGCCCTCCCGCCGGATTTGGATTCGCTGAACAGTCACCAGACTGGTTGAACTTCGACGCCGCGTTTGAGAATTTTGAAGGCTTGTTGGGAAGTAGTGGCGCTGATCTGAGCAATGAGTTGTTCAAGCCTTTGAACTACGAGACGTTGGAGGGATTTTTAGATCCTGCTGCTTAGGTGTGTTTGTATTATACAAGTTATTTGCGAGTTACCGGGAGCTATGTAATGATGAAATGTAGGCATATTGATGAGCTTTCGTGGTGTTGTGGATGGCGCGCATGTGTAATGTCTCCGCCGTGCTTCGATATGTGAGCATCAAAGCTTCCAGTTCCGATTGATGTATCTGCCACGCTGCCTTCTGCTACAACTTTGCCTACGCCGTTTCGCCATACTTGGCCCCCAACTCAGACATTCTCCTCTTCCAAAACTCCAATCTAGCACTGTCACAAGCGTTCCCACCACCTTCACTGGTCCAAAGATCACCCGGGGGCAACGTTTCCGTCCCAGCTTCACAAAGCTTTTCAATCTCATCCCCCGCAATCCGGAACCATGCTTCAGCAGCAGGTATGTGCAGATCAGTCTTCTTGCCCCTGCGTGTGTTTGGCGAGTGTTCGAGGGCTGTCACCAAGGTCATGCGGGCCATGCGAATCCCATCTGCAAGGACTGGAATTGTCTGCGCCCTAGAGCTTGTGGCGCTGAGGGCGAGGAAAGTGTTGAAGTTCTTCCATAACGTCTTTGCAGTTTCAAGGTCCGCTGGTGATGGTGTATCTGAAAGGTACTGCTCGGGCCCTATGTTGAGGAGTAAGCCAACTAACAAAGCAACTTCCGCACACTGTGGGCATCTCTTACCTTGAAAGCGCTCTGTTATTTCCATACTCAAGTCTGGCAAGTCCCTCCACAGTCTCTTCCCTCCATACCCCATCACGAGAGGTTCTCCTGGCGCAATGGGCACCGACGCCCCGGCGTGGCCTATGTGATCGATGACGACCGTTTCATGGCTCTCGTTGATAGCGTCGGGAAGACTTGCCAGTTCCACAATGTAATCCACCAGTGCTTTCAGCGCATCTTCGTTCGCGATCTTTTCTGCCGAGGTAACATATATCCCAATAACGTCATACCAGGCTTTCGGTTCAGAGGAGACGAGAGAAGCTGTTTTGGACGCCGAGTCTTTGGCTGAGGCTTTGCCAGTCATTGTTTCCTCAAAGATGCGGTAGAGCTGCCACAATGTGGATTCCTTTGTAATAGCCCCAGAATCCCCCTCAAGGAGGCGGCCTAACCAACCCTCTTCTTGATTCTGTACCCGATCGCTGGCCATGTTTGCTTCAGGCTACGGTTTGATAATCTTTCGAGTAGAGACGGTAAGCCGTATATATCGGGAAGGTCCTTTGACGGGACTAAGTAAAGGCAGGAGAATGTTGGAGGGCAGTATCGATGGTCTTCGATTTTCACCTGGCGAGCTGGCTTATATGAATGCTTGCTGCATACATCCTAGCTCGCTAATTGCAGCTCGATTATGTTCGCCTGCGTCATGGCTGCCGTGGATTGATTGAATCAATTGATATGCTAGGGTGGCTGCACTTAGAAAGCCACCAACAGAAAGGCCAAGAGATGTTGCCCATATCGAGGAGGGACGAGGGAGGAGCTAGAACGCAGAAAATGGCAGAGGGATGCTCAATACAGC